GGAAAAAAAAAAAAAAAAAAAAGACAAAGAAAAAGGTTGACCGGCACCTCAGCAAATATATGTTAAATACAAGGAATGTCTTGAATGTCTCCCCTGATCAATAAATCCCCCCCTTCTCCTTCTTTCTTTTTTTTCTTTTCAAATTGACATGTAGAATGCTAAGAACTCTTAAGACAATAATAAGATGACTATAATCTGTGTAACAAGCATGAAAGCTTGATCCACTTATCTAACACAAATGAATCTGCTGTTTATTAGATCTTATATATAACTTGTATTTTCCTCTGAAAGGCCGTTTTCCTTATTAACTTATCCAACATAACAACCAAGCCCCAATGCTGAACGTAATATTTTACAACTCACACATATCGAGTTATCACTTTGGATTCTCAGCTAGAGAACATTAAGCTCTGAACTATACCTAAAAGGGAATAGAGTGTTGGCTTGAGATTGTTCTCATGAGGAGAGAAAATAACACCAATATCAATTACCTATACCAGAAGATGAAATAGAGATAACAAATACTCACAAAATTGGTCAAATCTTTGACTTTCCAATTGACGACAAGAATCTTAGGTCTTATCTATGAACATCAACATCATTGTGCTAACAATAACTCCAATCATAGCTATTATTATTGGTACAAACTTTCGGATCAAAGATAGAAACTAGTACTGCACACAAGATTTTTGAAGTGTAACAATAAGAGTTTATAGATGAAAAATTGAAAACGTAATTCCAATTTCGCACTTTTCTCATATTCAAAAATAATTTTCATCCAAAAAATGGCTTGTCTTCAATTGCTACTTGAACTTTGGGCCTCGACTGAAGATGAAACAATATCTGTGACTAATGTCATCATGTCAAACTTAACTAAAATAGCACTATCTTTTTAATCTCTTTATCAAGTTCAATATGCTTCTCTTCATTATTGTACAACATTGGTACTTTGAAAATATTGGCGTAAAAAATCTTTAGTTCTTTACCTCACCCCCAACGGCAAGTAAAGTACCCTCATTGTTAAATGTCAGTGCTAATTGTTGGCCAACATCTTCTAATTTCTCAAGCACTTTCTCAGATGATTTCAGGCTCAAAGAAAGCTCATCTTTGATGGTAATTGCATCCCAGTCAAACCATCTGCACTTACTCATGTAATTCGTAAGAATATAAATGAAGCTTCATTATAGCTATCTGTGTTCAAAAATAACATTTTCAAGATACTTTGTTATGCCATACAGCAAATAGTAACATATTTCTTTTTCTGCACTAAGCATTTAATAGGAAAAGTACAGTTCAACAAATTCATCTCCAAAAGCATTTTTAATTAATCTCAGCCTTACTTACATCTCTGGATAAATAAATTCCAACACAAGAAGAACGACTTTCAGGTCCCACAATAATGCAGTACCAACTTACTCGATCACATTTGAGATGGCACAGCCACCACCAAAACAAGAAACATAAAGCAAAAAGGTAAAATAAAAGATCTTGAGTATATTTGAAAAATATAATCTTCAAGATAAAATTCCATTACTGTCAAACTGTAATGTCATGGAAATCCCATGCAAACAAACAAGTTCACAATATGGCTGCATTTGATCGTTGTGGAAGTTGAATGGCAAGTTTATCCTAGAAAATCGAGTAGAATATTTCCTATATAATGTGTAGATGGAGTAAAAATTTTAGAAATTTAAAAATAAAATAACGCATGGTTTACTATTTGGATACCAAAAGTTTTCCCAAATTCTACAACTTGTGCAGGGAACATTTTGCATGAAATAGGAAAGACAATTGGTTTGCTAACATTCTTGCAAGCCAAACACAAAAACTTCGTAAAGATGCTCCTTTTCAAAAGTTTAATAGAATCTCACAAAAAAAAAAAAAAAACTATTTCAACTCGTAAGCTATGTAGTCGATACAAAAAATATTTAAACCCTTTATGTAGTATTAAATAAAATCTGAAATGCAATCCTATACCTAATGAAATGACATATATGTCAGTCATACACAACAGGATAATAATATAACAACCAAGCTAGAAATGATATTACGATGCCAAGTACTGGAAGGTGCAACAACTTAAAAAATTCAAGTCCACTTTTTCCTTTCTTTCATTCTTTATTATTCTTGGAAATCAGAAACTTTCTAACTTAATCCTGATAGTTAAACTAAGACTCAATCTTCCACATGGTTGATGATGCCTTCGAAAGGTCCACAGGGGATCCTATGCATATAATCACCTCAGTATGAGGCAAGGCCATGGCCTCACACCATTGTCAATCGAACAAGTTATTGCAATTATTCTAGTCTCAAATGCTTGTTCAATTAATTACTCGCATAACAGTTACAGTCATATTGTAATCACAAAAGTATTTGAAGTTACTAGAGGGCTCATAAGAAAAGCTGAACAAATAACTCATTATGCAATTAAGATTTTTACAAATTTAAATATTATGACCCAATGATACTACATCTGACTCCAGTATGAATAATATTCCATATCAATAACTATGCCAATAAATCATTCCTACTCAACAAACATAAGGGAGGAAAAAAAAAAAATCCGGAAACACTGGAAAATCCTTTTTGGGTCAAAAAGCCCATTTGAACATCAATCGAGTAAATTCAACTTCTCTCAGACTTGGAAAGACAATTCTTGGACTTAACATGAATTCCACTGTCAGTTCACAATATAGCAACAGAACTTACCTGCAGCTCTTAGGCAACGAACAAATAAGGCCTTCTCCTCCAGGATGTACAGCAATTCTGTATGGCAAATCACTACCAGTTCCAAGCTTTCCCACCTTAAAAATGAAAATCATGCATTTTGTTTTAGTTTAAAGAACAGATTTTTAGATAATGATTACTGATGAAGTTTCATAATATTCATATGCAATGAAGTAGACCTATTCAGGGTGGAAGATGTGAAGCATTGTTACAAAGCACCATAGCATGCATATAACATATTTTTGGAATCTACCAAATAATATAAAAAAATTCTTGTTTTTTTTTCTTCCAATAAATTAGCTCTAGAAATTCCATTTTTAATTAATAAAATCAGAATTTATGTATTACCAGAACAAAGTCGCCAAAGTTTTCTTAACTAATAAAACAGTGAAATATTTTCGGCAGAAAATTATAGAGCATTCTATCATAATTCATGTTATAACCTCTATTTTAATGACTTAATTTTGGGGGCTAATTTTTCACCTATAAAAGGTGGTTACACCTCATTGAAAATAATATAAGAATCAAAACTTAAAAGATAAACAATATGTACAACTCTCACTATATTTCTTTAACCACTTGAATATACATTTTATGTTTATTCACTTTTGGCAATTCGATACATAGAAGGAGAGCCATGTGGGTTTTATCTTGTAGCCGTGTGGTGTGTGGTGCCGAAAGAACCTACACGAATGGGAGGCAATAGGATTTTAGGACAGTGTTTTCAACCTGACTCCAAGGCTTTCTTTCTAACCCTCTTTCCAATTTTATATTATATTATTGTTGAATTATGTTTGTGTTGTTTAATTGATTATATTATGATAAATATCTACACACAAATCAACCAATTTTTCATTTATTCCAAACCGATCACTTAGCAAAGTCAATAATGTCATACAAATGTTAAATCATAAATACATACAGACATGTATATGCGTGTGGTGGGTGCAGTTTCATTAATTGTGAGACTTACAGGCTGATCGGAGAGGGAATTAGAAGAAAAATCAAAGGTAGAGACAAGGAGAGCATTTGGTATTCCACTGCGACCTTCTCCACCACCTCCGGCTAGGACAATATGGTAATTCGAGGAGGAGGAAGCTGCAGGTTCTGTTTCTTCTGGTGTTGATTCGGATCCGGACTTGATGGTGGAAGCAGCAGCCGGTGGAACCCACGCGGCGCCATACAGTGGAATCCCGTACTTCTTGCAGTTTGATGCGTCGTTGTTTTGGTTGCTCTTCCCCATAGTGAATATGTAGCGAAATGGTGTAGATTTTTGACTTTTGACCCTAGAGTGATAGCTGAAAAGGTATAGTATTTATACCTTTCCGTTTATAGGGGAAGCGGATCGAGTCATGACTCGTGACCCGATTTTACTATCCTTCAGGTTATAAGTTCACGAAACATTTTTTTTTTATGTTAATTGTTGTCACGTACGTTGCACGAGTTTTGTGTTTATTCTTTTTTATTAGTGTATAAATTGTAGGGTTTTGAATAATGCTGAATAAGTTGGAGTTAGCAGTATTTAGGAACGTTGCTTAAAATTTATATAATTAACTGAAAATACCAAGTTGTATAGAAAAAGAGATACTGAAAGTAAACAAATTATTATATAGAAAAGATAATATATTTATGTCAATTTTCAGATGATATAACAAAATTTTTACAACATGTTAAAACTTTTTAAAACCTCGTAACAATATTATGTCACTCCCAAATTAATACAAATTATACGTAAATAAGAAATGAATGAGCTTACATCAATTAGTTTGCTGACATAGTTTGATGTGTTTGATACTGATTAACTAATTCTGACATGCTTCATATGATTGAACTCAACTTTAAGATTATGTTTGGAAAACAAATAGAAAATACCCAAGCTTGAGCACAAGTCCTAATAACCCAAGAGGTTCTTCAAATCCTAGCCAAACACGTGAGCACCATCTTTCCCCTAACCACATAACACATTGTTGATTAATTGTATGTTTTGGTCTGTACCAATATAGAGACAACATATGACGAAATCGAGAAT